AACCATCAAAACAGGTTTTGGTTATGATTAACCATTGTCTGAGAAACTCACAAATTAACTCGATACCAGAGTAGAGAGTTTTCTTGCTATATTTTTAAGTCAGAACAAACGCAAAAACATACGCGGAAGCCTACAACTAGCGTGAGCAGATCTTCATATTATTCATTCTCAGCGCGAGATTGAAGTCTTGTTTTCGACCGTGAAAAACCCACCTTTTCCGTTCGCTCAGAGCATAAAACTACATATGAGCGCCCTGGTTCGTATTCCCTGCCTTATTCCCTGCCATCGCCGTTAAAAATACGCAAGAGAATCTCTCAACTCTCACCATTTGATCACGCAACGTGACAACATCCACGCGAGAGCCCTCGACATGTGCGTGAATCGGCGCTGATATATGACGTCAGGATGGCGCAATTTGTTCTAAAAATAGAAAAGTTGTCCCATATCATAGGTGCGCGCGAATCCCGAGACTTACGGTCTCCGTCCCCAATTATGGCTGCTGGTACAATATAAAAAAACCCTAGATAAACCAAAAAATCAAAAATTTTCAAATTTAATACTCCGAGAAAAATTCTAACCTTTTTTTAAAAAGAGATATTTCATCAGCATCTCTAACTTGACTTGGCAGTCTATTCCATTCATAGATGATTCGATAAAAATGCGGACAGCAGACTATAGACTTTTTCACCTCAAATCGTGTTACTATATATGCTTATGAAGTCAGTGGTCTGCAGTCTGCATTTTACCCTCAGTCCACATTTTACCCCGGTCTGCAGTCTGCAATCTGCGGTTTACACTGACCATTTTCAATTTGATTACCAGCAAAGTGGAATTGAAATCTGAACGTTTTTGTACTTTGCTAAATTACACGGCCCATCAAATAATACTCGATCGTACAGTCATTCTCATGGCCCTTTCATAAAATAACCACAGAATTGTTAAAATGTCTTTATCAGATATAAAGACACTCATTACACATTAATTTCTTTTGTTTTTCTTTATGAATTATTGATGAGTGAAAAAAATTCTTGGTATATCTTGATAAGCAGCTCTATTAGCTTTAATTTGATATAGGGGTTTAGGTATTACTTCGCTTGGACGTGAGACATATCTAGAGATATAAAGTAACCTTAAACAATGCATTTATTGTCCTTCCTTCCATTTTTTTCTGAAACAAGTTATGATACAGCCATCTTTATACGATGTTTGAAATTGACCTAGCAGTGGCATGAATTTTTACATGTATTTTATAACATAGTCTTGAATGGTTATTTGTCTTTATGCTGTACATCCAGCAATAGTTCAGTTCCTTTTCATAGTATATGCTAATACTACCTTTTAAAAAAATTATAGGAACTCTACATAGCCTCAGTACACTTCCCAAAAGTGACTGTTAAGACGTACAGGTGAATGTATGACAGCTGTACAGTATTAAAAACAGCATACAGGAATATAATGAGATACCTTCCCTACTGCAAAATTGCAACATTTATGATGACAAAATCACTCTGGTAAAAAGTAATACTTTACCATTAGAAAGTGATGGCGGTGAGGGAGAGGGGGAGGGGTGAGGGACAAAAACAAGCAAGAATAAAAATGGTTCAAAAATTCCTGCAGAGTGAATTGCACTGCCAGGCTTACAAGCTGTACCTGCCTGAATGGCACCTTGGCAGCCACTCTATACTGCAGTTTTAATTAGAAAAGGCCTTTCAAGGCTGATACACTTTGTGCATAGCAATTTCAACATCGACATTGGTAGCAAAACACCCTGGCAGAAAAACTCTTATGGATAACCATGGCTTAAGAGTAATGAAAAGAAAAACACGTGCTATAAACCGCCATCCTGCATGATTCGTTGGCATTTTAGCAAGCACATACCATGTTTTGAAAGCCTCGAAATATAGGAGTGATTTTCACAACTGAAGTGACAAATGACGATTGTAGACGCAGATGTGCACGCCCATGGCAAACTGTAACACTTCCCCTAAGATGGCCGCCAAGATCAATGCAATCAAAGACAATCATGGAGATGTTAACTGATTGGCTAATTTCAATCTATTTTAGGTTTTTGCCGGGCAATGTAAACGACGCATTATCATTCACGTTAAATCAATACATTGCATTTATCCACTGAAAATCGTGGAAAACGCACCAATAATGCTTCAGTTTTGCAACATTTTGTTGGGGGGGGGGGCGGGGAGGGGCAGACCCCCAGTTCAATAGGCCCTTCGGCCTCATATTTGCTACTGGATGGTCACTCACAGAACTCTTGATTTACTGCTTGCTAAGAATGAATTTATTGTACAAGGGCAATGAATCAATAAAACTGATATTTCCCTAAACATCAAACAAAAAGAGCAATGCAGCCCCATTTTTGGCAATAGCACTTGGATGTGTCTGAGACTTGGTTATGTTTCCCCCGAGTAAAATTTTGACAGGAAAGCAAAACGACTGTGTGGAAGTTTAAAAAATATTGTTTGTACTTGAAGCCTATTCCAGGCATTCAGATTGTGGCAAGTGTCAAGATTAAGATTGCCATACCCCCACCCCCGCCGAAAAAAAATTGCTGAGGGGACTTGCCCCGGGGAAAAAAACCCGCTGAGGCAGTGGACTTGCTGCTAGCTGAAAAAGTCACACCCTCCCTCCCGATCACTTTTCTTATGGTCCGTCCCTTATATGAAACCTTCCATAAATAATTGCGTTCGACAAAACGTAGTTCTAATGGCGTAATGCAGAAAAATTCGACATCTATGAATCTGGGGACACCAATTTGGCCCCCCCCCCAAAAAAAATCCTTCAGTGGCGAATGACGTCATGCCCATGTTCGTGCATGTGCTTTCTTTCGAGTGTTGCGCAATATTGTGGACTTTCGAGTGTCGAGGAAACTTATAGTGGACTGTAGCGGAAACTGAAGTTGGTTATTTAAAGTTCGAAGTCAGTGTTAATGGCATTCAAAAACCTTGTAGACATGTCTTCATGAAATGTGTACGACTTTGCGAGGCAGCTTATTGAATACTGTAGCGGATAAGTTTTGTATTTAAAGTTCGAAGTCAGTGTTAATGGCATTTAAAAACCTTGCAGACATGTCTTCACGAAATGTGTACGACTTTTCGTACGAACAGAAAGCTGTAGTTTGGGTGCGTGTTGTGTACCCTCTTCTCTTCGACCGAAACCAACGCTGCTTTCTGCTGAATAAATCAAAGGAGGAAATGAGTTTCACTCCGCTGGCCTAGATTTCTGTGCACAAACTATGTAACATAAACCCAACGAAAGTGTTTACATAGGAAAATAGTTCAACTCCCACAGTGTTGCTTTGGTACACCAACATGTCCTCCGTTTCATTGTTTTCGGAAGTGAAAATGCCCTGTAGCTGTTACCCCAAAGCCAAGGCGATTCAAAGTGGTGTTCGTAAATAATTGTCCTAGTTTTGGTACTAAAAGCACGTCGTCTCGCATAGCGACGGAACAAACTTGGTTGGTGTCGATTTACACGGTCAATATAAAATATGCACTGTGGACTGCGGACTGCGGACTGCGGACTGCGGACTGCGGACTGCGGACTGCGGACTGCGGACTGCGGACTGCGGACTGCGGACTGCGGACTGCGGACTGCGGACTGCGGACTGGGTATAAAACACAGACCAGGCACGCGGACTAAGCATTACGGACTGGGCATACTGAATTGAAAACGCGCGCGGACTCAGGTATAAAATGGGGACTGCGGACTAAATGCAGTCTCCCGACTGCAGTCCATGTGTTTTACTGACCGGTCGTAACTTATATTACACAATACATGTATAAATGAGGACAAACCCTCTCGTATGCACAAGCTTTGCGATCAACTCATTTGCTTTTGCCCCTGCTGAAGGGAGACCAAATTCACGCCTACCTAACAGCTTAGGCACAAAATGCTGTCCCTAGAATTTTTGTTTTTTTAACATACCAAGCCTGCTTTGCGATCAATTCATTTGTTTTCGCCCCTGCTGAAGGGAGACCAATTTCACGCCTACCTAACAGCTCAGGCACAAAATGCTGTCCCCAGAATTTTTTTTTTGACATACCAAGCCTACTGAAACTCGAACGCACTCTTTAATCTACGATTACTACCAGTTTTATAATAATTAAGTGATGTGTTGCTTTTTCTCCACTGCGACTGTGGACAACAGGAACTGGGTGACCCCATTAATTATCAATTTTGTTATTAGATTATGCCAAAAATTAATAAGTAAACTGTAAGTAAATACCACTTACTAACCGAGTTCGAGGTCCGTACTGTAAGTTACGGACCGAGTTTTTTCCCCTTCGATTTATGGCCCAAGCGCGAAGCGCGCGGGTCAAAAAATCGAAAGGGAAAAAACGAGGATCCGTAACTTACAGTACGGACCGAGAAGACGAGGTTAGTAAGATATTTATTATATCTCTACTGTGATCCTGACGGGTTCGGAAACGATTTCTATTCACGCGGACTCGGAAAGGCTTCAAATTTCTGACGCACCTCGAAAGCAAAACGAGTCAGTTTGAAATAATTTTTAAGTCGTTAGCACGCTTTATTACACAATTTAGAGTATAAGAAAGTTATAAACTTTCACTTGCTATAAAAATAAAGAACACTTAGCGATAAATCACGAAACAGTTTGGCAACAAAACCAACGTTAAATTATAGCGGGTCGTACAGGAGAGTACGGCCCGCTAAATTGACCAATCACAACGCGCGTACTAACTGAGAGATATAATAAGTTTTAGTATCACCCAACTAGTGGACTAACGAAAATTCTGCATTTTAATTGGCTACGTTACTAGAGGACTATTAGTAATAGTCCTCGGGTAGCGAAATTGGCGCAATNCAAGGGCTACGGGTATAATTGTTAAATATTATGTACATCATTTTGCCTTCACTGCAGAAAATCGAATACACACGGAAGTTTTGATGCATTTGGTTAGCCAAGCCACGATATGTTTTATTTGACACACCAATAACATTACAGCTAAATGGATAAACAACATATCCTACATGCACCAAAGATGAACAAATAAACCCCTCAAAAAACTGGGAAATAGGAACCATGTATCCCCGACCAAATGCAGTGGCACTAACGGAATCAAGTAACAATTCAAAATCAATGTAGAGCTTTCTTTGCATGCAGGGTCACTAATTGTGGCAGCAAAAAAAAGCTCATGTAGCAAAAAAGGGCTTTGAGGTGCTATAACACCAATTTACCAGGTTTCAGAAGAGTATATAGATTTGCTGCAGCAAGCAAGTCTAGTGCAACACTTATCATCTACTCGACATTTCGATCGCATGAATTCAACAACAGCAGCAAACCGAGGAAATCTACGTATAAACACAAATGCATATCACTCCATCTGAGTATCAAACAGCAAATCCCGTCTCAACGAAGGATGACCGAATGAAAAAAATGTTACAGAAAATTCGTTTCAGATTGATTATTACTCCCGGTAAAGCCAAGAAATGAATTTAGAAGCCGGAAAGCGTCCAAAATCTCAAAGACCTTGCGGTGTTCAAGTTTACATTTAATAATTATGCGCGCTTAAGGGTAATATTGATTTGAATATTATTTTTGCCCACGGCTTTGTATAGTCATTTGATCGGCCGAGGCTTAAAAGAAATTCAGCCAAGCGTTTCGCCAAACCCAATAACTTGAACAAAACGAGGAAGTCTCCACACTGTGAAGCGCAATATGCATCACAATTTACGAACGTCAAAAACTGTCAAACATAGCAAATCCTGTTCGCTTTTAAAGCATAAGATAGTTTTCTTTCTTCCAACCGTAAACAGAAGAAGAAATTACAGCAATCTTAGACGAGGCAACTGTCCCTGCTAACACAAAGAAAACTTCAAAACTCGTCTGGCAGTACTTACAAATACAGTTTTATTACTTTTAGAGAAGTCATCGATAGACGGCGAAAAACGACACAAAACTATTTGATTACGTTATGCAACTTTATACAACAATTTCGTCAAAACGACTACGTGTTGTTGTTTGAAATTTATCATATTTCACAGCATTGTTTCAATTAAATCAGGAAGACTTAAAAACTCGCCGACGCAACTTGATAAGTTTTGTGGAAAGCGCGATGAAAGTTGTTATGTGACACAATCGCTTACCGCAGATTCACTTCTGTGTGAATCCTCTAAGCAGAAACTTCCGGCAAAAGTTGTGAAGACTGAACTGAGCTAATCTTTTTGATAGATCAACGAATCAACCACTTTTCCCTCTATGTTTACCGTTTTGTAATTTCTCTAAACACACGAAACTTGTTGATCAAATGATGAATCATGTGATTTGCACGGCTGCTTATCTCGGCGCGGGAATTAACTTGAGAAGTTCTGTAGTCTTCTGAGACAATTTTCCGGATAATTCGCGTCCTTTCTATAGCCCTCGTTCGCTCTGCTTCACTGCATAGTTCGGTATTATTTCATCTCCTTTCTCTAACCCTGACTCGATCTAATTCATGGCATTGTTCATTGTTTCTGAATGCACGTTCTATCTCGCCCCCTTTGTAGCCCTGGCCCGCTCTTTCGCGATCTTCTTCATCACTTCTAATTGCCTGTTAATTCTTGCTCTCTGCCGTTCTCTTGCACGTTCTGCTTCAGTTAAACCCTATCTTGAAAACGTTAGACCAACCTCCCCTATCTTTTGTTGACATAACAAATAGAAATGAGTTTTCTTTTCTTACAAATCCCGCCAAGAAAAGATGGCATTCTTGAGCTCCCCCGTTGGGGTTACCTTGAGACTCCCCTCCCCCTCCCCCAGAGTCTGTACGGACGGACGGACGCTCGCTTGCTCACTCGCTCATACGGTGACGTCATAACCAAGTTTTCTCGGCTTGATGGCTTTACCAAATTTTCTAAGGAATGGTGCTCTGCTCGCGCGCCTTCAGCGCGCAGGAGCTCCGCTAAAACTTAAACTCAAAGTGAGGTACTGGCATCGAATTAAACTATAATTGCTGTAAAATTTACGCTGTTCCTAACCAGTTGGTAACATCTGAGCTTGCTTAAAGTTAGGTAACCTAGGGCCTTTAATATTAACAATAAAATGAACAAAACGTTGCCGTCAGGCGCACTCTCAGAAATACAAGCGATGTCGACTTGATTGCGATCGAGAATTTATATAACCTTACCTGGATGACAAATTGAGATGTTGCAATATTCCCATCGCACTGAAGCATTTGTAGTGTAGCACCATGGGCCGTGAGGGGCCTGACCACCAGGGTTCCGGCATGCATTGCCGGCGTTGTTCAATTCAGGGAAGTTATGTGGTGTTCTGTGGTGCCGATGAGGACACTGGGAAGTCCAGGACTGGCACGTGTAACCTGACTGTGTCACTGATATATTTCCGCGGTATAACTGACCGTTGTCATAGGAACACGCGTCTATTAAGACAGGGATAAACAATTTTAACGTTGCTGCCTCCAAATAAATGGCTATTTTAAAACGTTCAAGCAACTTCTACTTACCGCTGAAGTCATCTCTGCGTACGTTTTCTGTAGCAAGAAATAAGAAAAGATTTTTTCATGTGATTCCCAAATTCAGGTTGAAAGTCATAAACGTATTCTTAAAAGAGTCACAAATAGATCATTTTCAAAACAGAGCCTAAATTTTTCTGTCTCAATTTAGACTACAAAAATTAGAGAAATTTAACACCTTAAGGGCCCGACCAAACGCAGGTAAGATATTAAGGCGACCTATTGCAACACTGTCGCATAACGAATGAATTAGGAAAATGCAGAAAATAATCGGTTTTAAGTGTGTAATGTAAAAGATGCTCGAGATTGTCCCTTATTAATTAGTGTCCCAGCCCCGTATGACTACTTTTATCCCTCCTTTATTATATTGGCTAATCCGCTATTTATCAGCTAGACAGTTACCTTCTAGTTCTCTCGGATAATAACACTCGGGGATGGTACCCCCGTTTCTTCTAGGTAGCGTCGTGCAGTTAATCAAGTCAAAGCTAAAGCCCTCTGACCCTTCAAATAACTTTTTTATTTCACGAGCCCTGCGGTACTCTTCCTCGCAACGCTGCTGGACCATAACCTCGCAGGCCTCCCTACAGACCGGTACTGGAAGAATTTTCGAGGAGGTATTGTCGCATCTTCTAAAGTAGTGGTTACAATAAACTAGTTCTACAGTTTGAAGACATTTATCAGAGATATTGTCTTTGTTACGTACACCTCCCTTTGCCGTTATAATGATATTTTTAAAGGTCTTCAGCAGGTTTTCCTTTTCCTTTTTTTCTTGGTTTGATAGCGAGCCATAGATGAGGCGTTTTCCAATTATCTTCGAACACTCTCCCTTCACTCCGTACGTGTATTGCTTACAGGCATTTCGCGATGGTGGACTGGGATGAGCTGGGACACAGGTGTTACTGCTGTGGAGCGAAGGAACAGAAAGTTTGTTGAAGTTAGATGCGGAAAAACGACTCGGTTTTCCTCCGTTAGGAAGTGATCCAAGGACGTAATCCAATACTTCGTGGTTATTGTTTGTGTGCTTGCAAGAAAGTGTTACTGAACATAGCCCTGTTGGAGATGGCACCATTGAGGTTTATTCAAGTTTAAGTCATACTAACCGTGTTTTGATTCCCGTCTTTGTGTCATTATTGAACTGCAAAGTGTCGTTTACATGGACATCTGTGGAAAATCGAGACTGTACTAAAAATTTCCTCTGAAACTATCATGCAAAATGAAACATTAAAATGATACGAGTTTTGAATTCTCTGGAAATAATCTTCAAGAGGAATGGATATTGTGAATTTCAGAGAACTCTCCTGCCCCAACCAGTATGAATTCGTCTAATATCGGAGAAGATAGCCTACCTAGACAGCAGTTCTGCACAATCGTCTTCGCCACAGGTGCAAGTTCTGCAAAACTAGAAGCAAAAAACACCTTGTCTTTTGAACTGGCTATGTCCTCCAGCTGTTGACGGTCAATGTGTCCAATACCAACGGAATAGACCTGGATTTTCTTTAATTTAAGTCCTCTAGATGCGTCAGTAAGCTGTGGATATGGAACTCTGCGTGTTGTTTGATGGCCGTCAGTAATAACAATCGCAATCTGCCAAAGAGATTTAAGCCTGTAAATATTTCCCCATTATTATATGGCAAGGTAGTCTTAAGATTGATTGGCTCTCAGTTTGGTCGGCATTTTGCCATACTATGGTGACGCCTATGGTCATAAGCCGTGATTTTTTGGTTTTCGAAAGCCGGAAAACTCAAAAAACAACCATAACCCGAGTGTCATATAATATACTACTATGTAACCTAGCCTGCTCGAGCCGTACTGGGGAATGTTGGTCTTCGGTCGTTTTTGTACGAACCGAGCGCATCCAGCTCCGTACAAATACGACATCGGGTCAATATTCCCTGTACGGCCCCCTCTCTCGGTTAGTTAGTAGTTAATATTTTGTCCTTCTACTTCTTAGGCGTGACTTGAGCCAAGAGAGGATGAAGAGTAAGAGAGTTATATAGGCCTTATTACCAAGGTAATCCTTCTCAAGGTATTCTTACCCCCGGCTTCAGAAACCCAGGAGAGTCTAGAAGGGGCCTGTCTGTTACGCGAAATGAGCTAACGTGGACAGCCTAAGCAGTTTTAAATGCTTTTCATCCTTCACCAAAGCCTCTACGCACAACGCAGGGTACGATTATTTATTTTAAGATAACCGCTGAAATTATCGCGCACTCATTGGCTAATTTTCATTTAAGTGGTACTATGACGAAAATCGTATCTCTCCTATCTAAGCCATTTTAAAATATAAGCAAGTAGTCTGCATGAGAAGAAAAATGCCGTTTACTCTTTTCAAATGTCTCTTTTCGTTCCTGAGATATTCAAGTTTTTAAAATATGCAAATTGGCCAAATGATGACGTCATACACTCAACCAAATTTTGAACAAATATGATGTTTCAGAAATGCTTGAGTTTTTGCAGTAAGACTCTACTAAATGTGCTCCACAATACGAGCTTAACAGTTTTTTTACCATGACAACATACTGGGCTCCAGACATCCCCAATTTTAAAGGCTTTTATGGCCATCTTTGGCGATCTATTTTGATATTTGCTGATGGTGTTTCATATGCACGATCCAGCAAGCATATAAGTATGTTAGCTCGAGTTCTTGGCCTCGTTTAATGTTAAGCTGAAAATCAGTAACATATTGAAATCAAGTGGGTGGGGACTAGAAAAGAGTGAGTTGCCATGGGAACAGAATTTTTTATAGCCGTAGGTGTGTTTTATATAGAACTATTAGCCTACCAAGTTTCAATGGATTCTGCTGCAAATTTACATACTTAAAATAATATTGGGTTGAGTGTATGACGTCATCAGTCATCGCATTTGTATATTTTACACATTTTTCAAACTTAAAAATCTCCGGAACTAATGTAGATATTTGAAAACGGTAAATGGCGCTTTTATTCTTTCATGGAATTCTATGTGATACACCAGGAGCCATAATCGCGACGGAGACCGTAAGCGCGCGCCATTTCTAGTATTGGGGCTGGGGTTTCCGCTGCTTCTTTTACAAGAACTCCGTGCATTACTCCACTCTAAATTTCACATATAATGAAGATTAACAGCGTTTCCATAACACAGCGAAAAACTAGCTGGATATATTTGGATATACAACGAACGCAAATATGGCGGACCACTCGGTCGGCGCCCGGAACGAGTCGCATGAAAGCGAGGCTAGTCAGGCTTTGATGTTTTGTTTTGACAATGCTTCTCCAGAAAAGTCTTGCTTCGTCGTCGATCTGGTCTGTATTATTTAGCTGTGGCCACGAGCTGCTGTGTTTCTGAACGCCACGAGAAGGGATATAAATTATCCACCGTTCGCTTCTTGAGCTTAGGGAAAATAGTGGATCAATGCAATTCGTTGAGACGGATCGCCTCAGGAACTAAAGTTTGTTCGCTACATTTCACATTAGAAGATCTTGGAAAAATCTTACAAATGACGAGCTTATGTGGTGTCTGGTGGTGTTCCAACACGATTTACATGGCCAGTACCTTCCCCAAAGTAAAGAAAAGCTCCTCTTAAAAGACATCCTCTGTCTCAAAGGAAGAAGTTGACTTCGCGTCCACTCGCACGGAATCGGACGAAACAAACACTACGGTGTAATAACCAAGCGAATGAACTTCAACAGGCCCCATAGTTGTATCTAGTGAATGCTTTGAGCCAAATGAGAACGACTTACAGCTAAATGCGGTCGCTTACACATTTTCTAAGATCTCCCAGCCTGAAGGAACAAACTTTAACAGTTCCCTCGGCGATCGTGAACTACTTTCCTTCGTCTGTTTTCCACTTTCTCTGCTGTGGAAGATTTCAATTCCTTCTGGTGGCATTCAGGAACACAACAACTTATAGGGAGGGCGAAACAAAAACAGACCAGATCGACGGCGAAGCAAGACTTTTCTGTTAAAACAAAACATCAAAGCCTGACTAGCTTCGCTTGCATGCGACTCGTCCCGGGCGACAACCGAGCGGTCCGCGATATTTGCATTCGGTGTATAGCGGTGTTTTATAACTTCAAAGTTTCCCTCCTCTTACCAGACGCTTGCGGGGATTTCGCCAGAGTCTATCGCGACCGAAAAGTAAAATAAAATTGTAAGTTTGAGTTTCGCCTGAATTGTAAGCAACGCTTGATGTTTCATCGAGGCCCAATAAGTTTACGTCTGTAGATACTGCTCAGTTTTGTTTGTGTAAAAATCCAATAAATTGTCTGTTGTCGATGGATAAGAGGGACCGNGGAACACAACAACTTATAGGGAGGGCGAAACAAAAACAGACCAGATCGACGACGATGCAAGACTTTTCTGTCACAACAAAACATCAAAGCCTCACTAGTCTCGCTTGCGTGCGACTCGTCCCGGGCGCCAACCGAGCGGTCCGCCATATTTGCATTCGGTGTATGAATAAAATTAATTCATTCATTCATGTTCAAACAATTTTTTTAAGAGCAAAAACTTAACTTTGATATAATTATGCACAACAAATAGTTTTCCCCCAGTTCTTCAGGTCAGAATTTGGACTCATATTTAACATAAGCCATATTCGTATTCGAACTTATAGCTGGCAACTGAGGCTAATGCGGGGAGTCTTTGCAAATGCAAATGACATTAATCTCTTTTTAATGATAACTTTTCCCCGCATGAGTTTCTTCTAGTCCAAAAACCGAGAATACAAACATGGCCTATTTAAAAAGAGCACAGTGGGCATAATTAACGCAGGTGAAAAGGAACTATAAGAGTATTATAACTAAAAATTGTCTTAAAATCCTATTTGAGCGATTTCCATTGTAAATGTCTCAAAATACTCTATAGAAAATTCTTTTTAGTTATAATTCCCAAAACAATTCCAACAGAGAGCTTTCGGGATGATATTATTACTTAGAACCCCTTCACAGTACATGGGCAAATATCTGTCATTCTACAGTAAAGTAATGGCCGCATTGTTGTTCGTGTAAATAAAGGTTGTCGTAACGATATGACTCTTCTTATCGTTCAGCTGCAAATGCAATCTGTTTACAAGCAAGAGACTAGATCATCGTCCCTTGCTACAAGAGAGATTGTTAAACCTAACGAGAAACCGGCAGGATTCAAAATCATTGCGCTGAAACGGGACAATTTTAATATTCTCGTTTTCACTCATGCGTTCCAACACAAATATTAAATTAGTGCATTGTGAATGGACGACTTTAAATCAGTCACTTTCAAGGATCCTCTGATATTACATTGCATTATAAAGCATCATTAAACTCTCCCAAGACAGCTCACAGCAGCTCGTATCGTTCGACTACTTTCACGCCATATCAGTTCGCGAACACTGAAGTGGATAGCTTTTTGTTTGACTACTGATCTTGAACTGCATATATCGCATACATAACGACCAAATGAGTAACTTTAAGGTGTCGGTCCGAACGTTTCTAATAACATTTCGGGTTTTGGCATGCCTTGTAAGACAATAATCATATTCATAGACCTACAATAATCAGTTTGATTCAAAAAGTCAATAAGTGGCTTCTCATTTTATCAGACGTTTTGTACCTTGATGTTCGCCACATGAGCTAGTATCACTAATACACTAAACGTTTTGCAAATGTACAGCTAAATGACCGAATATGAAGGAGGGTATCCATCATTAAAATAATCTGTATTTTATTTACCTGACTAGTGCTAGACGTCTGGTCGTGAGATGCACATCGAATACATACGCGCAAATAGCGCCGGGCAAACTTTGAAGTTGTTTTGTACTGAAAAGGTTTTCCGGTTTGTATATCGTGTAGCATGAGGTTGTCATAGTAACACAAGAATTTGAAGTGGAAGTTATGCCCTTCACTTACTTAATTATCTTTCACGCGTTAACACATAGAGAGTAAGATAAAGTCTACACACGAGCCAGGTGGCCTATCAGGCCGGTGCATATCTCTGGTTTCAGTGCCAAGAACCGAAAAGGAGTATTTCTACTCCCTCTGGATGGGATGCTAGTCCATCGCAAGGTTACCTCCCAGCATTAAATTCGCCGGTACCCATTCATCCACCTGGCTTGAAAGAGGCACTGCGAGAGTTAAGTGTCTTGCCCAAGAAGACCAGCCAGGGATCGAAACCTGACCGCTCGATCCGGAGGCCAACACACTAACCATGAGGCCACCACACCTCCACAACACATAAGGAGTATTGGAGTCAAAGTATCGAGCACTAGGTTTCTAAATGATCGCTACGATAGATCTCTGCAGAAAAAAGTTCAGCGACCGTTGTAATAATATTGAAACCACTCTCCAGCAATCTTATAGCGATCTTAGCGATCATATAGTAGTCATCGTAAGGATCGCTTACCTTTTTCTGTTGCGATCGCAGCGAACGTGGAGAACGTAAAGGAAAGTAGCCTTAAGACTGATACAATATTCTTACCTTATGTTACGGTGGCTCAAAACAGTTTCCAGCACTTCCCAAGACTTAGATTTTGATGCCGGTCGCTATAACCACTCTTTATCAGTTGATGCTACAATCATGGTATCAAAAAAACACTCACTCAATGGTTAAGACACATTTTCGCGACACAACAGGTTACAGTAGCAAGAGTATGACCTGCTAAAATACCCTTCATATTACAATCGTGGTATCAAAAAACCGCCCAATCATTCGTGTAATCACGGCTTGAAACATTCGAAAATTCATACAGCACATCAATTCTGTGATTTTCAATACCTTCTTTTAGGCAGTCGAATACAGTCAAACCTGGATTAAGCGGACGTCTTCGGAAAATGCGCTATTTATATAAATTAGCTTCTATACATAGAGACGTTCGTGCGAAAATCTATTCTATGTAATTTGTTTCTGAGGTAAGATATTGAATACTTGCGTCAGAAACGCAACGAACAAATAAGAAACATTGCTAATAAAAATTAAAACTAATCAGTCTGTGAGGAAATCGTTGCACTTCCAGGTCGAATATAACTTGAACTTCGCTACGACTATGAAAGCCTTGTACATTGGTAAGCGGATTCACAAAAAGTCCAACAGGAGCGAGTGAATCTCCCATCCATATCTACAACTTGGATTTTCCAAGTTAAATATGGGTTTCCCCGTACCGTTTTTGAAATACAAGTACTTCAAGCTAAAATTAAGAGTGTTTTTAGCAGGTCCTACAGTTGCTATGGTAACCTATTGTGTCTCGAAAATGGCAACAAAGTGTACCCAAATGATGGGGAGCGGGGGCGGGTTGGTACTATGATTGCATCAACAACTGATAAAGAGTTGTTATAATGACCCATCAACATCTAAGTCTTGGAAAGTGCTAGAAATTGTTGCGAGCCACCTTAACAATTAATCTACGAAGTTAAAGCTGGTAGCAAGTTGCTTCACGATATAAAACAATGTTAGTACAGGAGAATGGACAATATTCGTATTCACGGTATTGGACTGGAACTAGCTTGCAATGGAGGCTCATACGGGGGAATATCATTAAAAAGAAGTGAATGACATTTGCATTTGAAAAGACTCCCCGCATTAACCACAGTTGCACGTTAGTTCTACTCAAATATTGTCTGTTAACCTTAGTGGCATATCAATTTGTGCACAACAAATGGCCTACTTTACATTTCCTTTTCTTTCGTTAACTCAGCTATTTATATATATTTGGCTGTTATGAAATATAATGGTAGTGCAGTGTACACAACCTCTTGGTTACTTCATCAGCCACTCTTGATATCAACTGATCAATTAAACCAGGAGGCAGGTTTAATTCCTGGGTGGGTTGTGGAGCTTCCGGAGCGGACTCAGAGGACTGCGCAGACGGACTCGGTTCAGGTCTCCTGGTTTTCTTCTTTGGAGGTGCTGCTACAGCTTTAGCTGCTTGCTTCGTTAACCGTGCAGATCGCTTGGCAGGCATTTTGCTGCAAAACAAAGTCAAGAAAATGAGAACTAAGACATAAGTAATTGAAAGCAATAGAATACTGCACCTTCAATGACACTTCCCTGACGGGGCTTTTCAATGACAATACAAATAAAACAAAAAAGCAAACACATGGATTAAAAGATTGTGAAAAAGTATATATACATAAATATTACAAAAAAGGAAAAATGCTTTATCACGTAAGAATGGCAAAAAATGATAAAAAAAAGTCAGTGATTGATTTATCTTTAAGGTGAAATTTAAAGAAGAGGTCGCCTTAAGTCTAGGGTTTTAAGGAATAGGCAAACAAGCCAAAGTCTTGATAGAGAAACGGCGTTGACCCAACAGCTACAGCTGACGAACGTACTTAGGACACTTACATAGTTTGGGCAGAAATGTTCATTTATAAGTGTTGTGAATTAGGGCCTATTTTTCACATGAGCTCGGTAACCGGGCTGGCTCGGTTACTGGGACACGTTTTGTTGTCTGTTCATATGGGAAATTTCAGCCTAGGATTAAATTCAGGGCCCGGTTGTTCGAAAGCCGGTTAATGCTAACCCAGGATTAAAAGTCAATCGAAGTATCCATTTTTCTTGTATAAAAATGCTTTTCACTGCTTTTGTTTTGCGTAGTTTGAGATTTTTCAAACTCAAACCTGAAGGACAAACGATGTACACAGAAAAAGGCACCCAAAAGTTACAAAAACTGAAAAGAAAATTCTCCGGCGCTAATCCTGGGTTAGCTTAATCGGGCCTTGTACAACCCGGCCCAGAAAACAAAACCAAAATGACGCCAAATAAAGTTGAAACTCTACCAATAACGTCAATTAGCGTACTTCTGAACTGGAAATACATACGACTCAAAAATTACGCCATTTTGGCCGCTATGTTTGCGAAAGCGAAGCTATTTTGTCAAAAAAAGTTTCGTCCCGGTTACCTGGGCTTGAGTGCTCATATGGGAAAATTTTCATCTACTTCGTACTGTTAGTAGAAAGTAACTAAGGTGTCGTTTTGTAAAGTACTTCAAGTAATTTTAAGTGGGCAAATAAGCTCAATTAGCGACTTGTGAGCTTTGTATTGTAATGTAAGTCATGTTTTGTTTAGCAATGTAATGTAAGTAACGCTGTAAGCGACTGTTAGTAAGTGACCGTTAGTGCTGTAACTGTAAGTAACGCTGTAAGTGAGTGTTAGTGAGTGACCGTTAGTATAAGTAAAAATAAGTACTAGTGTTTACTAGCGATTAATCCAATAACTACAGTAATATAATAAGTAGAGAGATGTTGAGTAATGTAAGTAGAGTGATGTAATGAAAGTTTAGTCCTGTACGAATGTTTCTTTAAATCCAAAAAAAAAAAAAATCTCGGTAACCGAGCTGACCCGTCTTCTCATATGAACACATGGAAATTTTTACAAAGGAAATTAGAGTGAGACGGCAACACGGTTGACCGGGCCCATATGAAGAGGCCCTGAATCACTGACTGTAGTTACTGAATGTCCAACAGACCGTGCAAATAACGGAATAAATGAAGGAATGAATGACAAACCATGCCATCGCAATATCGTCCAAGAGCATGATTGTCCTTTATTTTTATGCCAAACAGATATCACAACATTCGAACAATATTTCCCAATTTGGGTTCTTAATTCCGATATTCAGTTCTTGTGTTTTTTAAAATCAATACATAAAAGCATGTGATTGATTGGTCGGTAATTTTTTTCGTTTCTTTATTTTTCATTAGTCACCAAAGTTGCAATATACTGAGACTACTGAGCTTTCAGCTCTTTCGTCTTTCCGTAAAGTTGAAGTTCCATTGACTGAGCTCATTGACAAAGGACCCCACGTGTAGTTTGACGTCATTGTATATTATTTTTGCTGCGTCACGAGGCAAGACTGTTTTGAAACCAATATACTAAATACAACATGCAATGAAATAGTCCAGCCAGTTGAGAAAATTACGTTTTTTGTACGGGGTATAACGCTTTCCCGTCTTAGTTCTCAGTTGAGTTCGTCAAGGCAACAAAGCTACTTGAAACAAATAAAGTCGCTTCTTAAGCAACAAAGTTTACTTGCAATTATGACACTCAATTCACTGAACAACTCTTAACATTCATTTACGTAGTTTTCTGAACGATAACATTCCTGTTCAGTTAGCAAAGCCCTTTTCCCATCACTCAGACACTCATGTAAAGACCTCGGTCCGGCGTCAGCAAGGACAAAATATGATTATAAATGTTGATAACGGACTTTTTCGTTCAGCTTATCCCAGCACGGGTAGATAAATCATGTTGCTGAATATCACTTAAATGGAACTTGGAACTGTGTGCATACGGGGACTTTTGAACAATACGGCTGTGAAGATTTACAATTAAAACTATGTCCCTTTGCTAAACAACGCAGCAATAAATTAACTAAGAACATTTGGCTCACCTGCAATTGTTGATTAACCCAAGCCTGAAGTGAATCACCACGCACAAGCAGAACTGCCACGTCTCACATGAGGGACGGCGGGGGTGCACCGGAATTACCTTCCTCTTCACTTTGCACATGCTCAGATGTTGATACACTGTACTGCGATCCCACTTGATTTGGCGAACCACAGAACAAGCCACAAGGGTACAACGTTGAATTTCAAAACAGCCAAATACGTATTTTAAATATTTGCTACTAAATGTGCTTACAAATATAATCCAAAGTTATAGATATGTACCAACAAAGTAAAATTCAAAATGTTTTTCAAAATTTTAGCAAGAGGAATTTATGTTACGGATCTCGTGACACCCATTAAGCACAGAGTGACAGAAAGCTACCAAGGGGAGATTGGAAGCATTTCACAGAACTCTCGAAACAACGAAATTATCCAGTTTTAACATGGGGCACAGTAAAAACTCCCTTCGCATGAGTCAAACAAGAACTTTTACCTCTTAAAAAATTTGATTATCTTGTAAGAGTAAGACAAGAGAGCGAATATCGACAAGCTATTTTTTTTCACGTCAACTAGTTTCTAAGGACGCGATTGCGTTACTATCCGTCACGCTACTGACAAACAAAAGCAACGTGTTTAAATTACCGCAAAGTTAAAACCACATTCATTTTAGATTTTCTTTGAACATAAAAATGATATAGATACTACAAGTTCAACAAACAAAAATAACTTTTTTCCTTTGCGTGTTTTTTTCCTGATAACTGCCTTATGCTTTAAGGGTAATTTTTGTTTTCGATCATGTAAACTTGAAATTTATGTTCACTTCCACAATTTCTTTGAAATATATTTGATCCGGTCCTTTTCCGTTACGGATTTCTTACAAGAAATCATGTAGTCATGTATACAAAAACTTAAACTATCTCATAACTCTTTCTCTGAGGGAACAGTTTGATCAAAGACTAGTTCGTGCACCACGTCATGGAATACAAACAGTATGAATATTTCTCGCTCAAAATAAAAATGAGCTATTCCGACAAAAAGCAAATTTAATGCGTTAAGTACTTACAAAGCACCAGGAAACCTGCACATGGCTAAACCCACAAGAAAAAGTGGTTTTCTCGGGAAGAACATGACAGCGCACTTTGAATCGTACCAGTTAGCACGTTTTCGTTTCACAATTTTGTTTTGACACGTGACCGTAACACAACTGCACCCTCACGCTTGAGTACGTGACAACCATCAGGCAACCCTGAAACCTCGAGTTGGACGTTCCAGTTTGAATTCCAGCTGGACTTCTAGCTGAGCCTTAATAGCGTTTCGGTTAAACTGGATAACGCTCAGGTTAGCCCGGTTGAAAGATACTCAGCTTAGCCTGTTTAGAGTCAAAAAATCTGTAGTCTTACCAACTCGATTTCCAACTCGACCTCAAACTCAATTTTTTATCTCTATAATTTACAACTGGCAATTCTGAAACAATTGGTTACGAAGTATAGCAATTTTACCACACGTGTCGTAATTACATGCTTACTACATTAGATATAAACAATGATAATACAATTATTTAATCTATGTCATAACAGATGATAATTAACTATAAATAAATAATTTCCATCCAGCCTGAAATTTCCTTTGCATGTTGTTTCTAAAGGCTCTAGTTTTCAGATATATCGCTAAACTCTGATACCAAGGCAACAGATTTGTCATTCTCACGTTCTTTAAAGTAAATATCAAATAGAATAAGAAAATAAAACGAATATATAAAAAATACCACTTTTGACAAGTTAGGTTAAACAAGACAGAGAGAAGAAAAAGCCGTGACAGAAAGAGAGAGATAAGCACCCTTTTGAAACCACGCAAACGTTTCTGCGTTCAAACAGGTTGTGCAAGTAACTTTCGTGGGCACAAAATTTTGTGAAAGGAAGCGGTTGCTTACTTATATTCATGTTATATTAGCAACATGACTTACGGCGGGCTCAACTTGACTTCATTACGAATTAAGCATTGCCGTTGTGAGGTCGCAAACAAATCACACAAATACCAGGGGCTGATGGTGTAGGACAAAGTGTGAGGAAAGCCTGGTCTTGCCTCACTTTGAATCCCCCATCCCTATCATCACTCCGCTCAAAATCATATCGCTACATCCCAAAAGGCGGCTAGGGGGACTGGGTTTTGTGAACTGCGACTAAAGACAGGTTTTACCAATGCATTGCTGTAAACCTCAATCCTCCGCAGGAAAAAAAAAAATGGCGACTGGTAAATTTACCCATAATTCGTAAAGCACGAAAACTTAAGCAACGCTCATAAAAACGTAAAGAAACTGAAGTTCTAACATATTCAAACCTAGCATACACTATGTCGTTAGCAGAGGGACAAATGTTGCAAAACTGACATGACTTTCCTCGTACTTTATGGGCTGTTTAAGGCCGCTATCCTTTTTCCCATGGAATATTCATCCATGAAGTATAACTTAGAGTTAGATGAATTCCTTTCACTTCCATAGGTCAACATTATTGACAGACATAATTTACGCGAGATTCATCAACGTGGGTGGACTGTTGTGGCTCGTAAAGGACCCGCTGGGATCTACATCAGGCAGGCCAAACCAAGCGTGCAGCAATGGCAAAAGCCTGGCAATTCTACCTTGTTTACCCCAGTTTCGCAAAAGAAATCTGTATTTGCGAGAAGTTATCCCACCAGCCCGTTAGCCGTATTTCCCTAGCTGTTAATTATGCCATTTTAATTAAGTACTTCTGGTGTAAAACTTAACCTTGTTGTGGACTAATCAACAAAGACATTCACCGAAGGGCCATGCACAGATCAATATACTTGTATAAACCACTAACTAAGCTGATAAAGTTACAATCAGATTGAATAATAAAAAATAACCTCGGATTAACTTGATCATTAGTGCGGGTAAATCGCTTCATCCTAACCACTAGATCAAAGATCATTTCACAACGGCAGGTTATTTTTGACACTTAAAATGAAAGGTTTCCGACAAACATAAGCTGCGGGGTTTCCGCTTGTTGTTATGGAAAGGGAGGTTCAATTCGCAGGTGTAAGCGAACAGGGAACATTCTCGCGAAAGTGATCTTTGGTTGGTAGTATGGAATAAATGTCTTACAAACGGCATAACCAACGAGAATTGCACAGAATTGACAGGTAAGGTGTCCTAATGATGCTAAACTGTGTTGAGAATAATATTGTTTTGAGAGGTCTAAGTAAGTACATCTCTTAACGAAAGATTTCATTTTGTTTTGTTTTTTCACTTTTGGTGAAATCGTGTATGGTGTTTTGTTTGGCGACGTGTTAACCGAAATATTTTTATGTTCACAACAAATTCGTAGAATTTGGATTTGATTTCCAGATCAGAAATTCTGATAAACGGGCACAATTCAAAGCACATCCTCTGTAAAATATATCCTCCGCTTTTTAATAAACGTTTTCGAATTTTCTTAATCGCGAAAACCTAAATGGATTATGTGAAGCAATTAAGATATTAAAATACAGGCGAACAAAAAACTATCTTGCTTAGTAGCACTTCTTTTGCAAATCCTTCCTGTTTTTTTTCTTTTCAATAAAGACAAACGTCCAGAAAAGTTATTAACATCTTTGACAGACTTCACGACTAATTATTTTCGTGTAGCTGTCAAAAGATGCAAATTAATCGGCAAAAATGTCCTGAGCTTGATTAAAAATTGCGAGGTTTTTTAGGTGTTATTTGCCGAATACAAGCTGAATTATCTCACTTAGCTGTGTCATCTCTTTCAAGACAATGTGATTTATTGCACACAATCAGCCTTGCCATATAAACATCTATTACTGTGTGAGCTGAAATTTAACCACTTCCGAACGCTTTGTATTATTTTTTCATCTTTGAGCTTACTGTGTAAAATTCAACTTACGAAAAGAATATTAACAATTTTCACGGGGGAATTGCAGTTATCACTCTGCGGGAATCATTTTGAATTGTTTAAGACAAGAAACGTTCAAAATAGTCTTTTCCTACTTTTATTCGAAAATAACCAGAAACGACTGTGCGACGAATTCGTTGAAAAAAAAAATTTATATTAAATGCGAATTCAGTCGAGAAATATAAAGCACAAACGGTTTATAGCGACCGACGAAAAAATTTTAGTCAAATCTGAAAAAGCAGCGTTTTACTTGTAAGTTCACAAAGAGAATTTTCTGTTATTGTTATTAACACACATGGATGCCAAGTTGCTGGTGTTCTCGGCGCAAGTTCAAACCGGTAAACTTTGACTTTTCATTTCATTTTAGTTTTGGAATTGTTAGTTTTCCCACTATTTGTTAAACGCAGGCATTAAACATTATCCTTGGTTTTTTTGTTTTCCCTCTAAGGATGACCATCGAACTGTGTTTTTTAAACTTGTGGCAATTTTGTTTTCCAACATCATCTGTCACGGATACATCTTTAAGCTAATTTGCTTTTCAAAGAAGGAATAATTTAAATGAAAGAAGGAAGTTTGTATTGTGTCGATTCCGACAGCAGCTGGCTGGCATTCAAATGCTGTTTAAAATGAAGAACTGGGCCGAGATATTGAAACCAAGAGCATCTCGATTGAACTATTTTACGGCAATAATTTTTTTTTGTTAAAACTAAAGAGAAATGGGTAAAAGAAACTAGCTCGACGAGGCATTTTCACATTTTTAACTTTGTACAAAATGGTATTTCGAAATATTGATGAAAATTTTGAACGTGGGGATTGACATTGAAATGGTTTTGTATATAAATGCATTGAATAAGACCAGTTAGAAATTCTTGCTGTTATTCCTTGTTAATCAAGCAGTCGACAGGGCCTGGTATAAGCAAGTCAAGAGGTATTTTAGCTCAGGAAACGCACAGATGAAAGATCTTCAAAAATGAACTTTTTAATGGGAAAACGTGCGAAACCGTAATCTATTGTATTGGACGAGGTGTGAAAATGCATTGTATAAAGACGATTGCAATGCTTAGGTGATTAGAGACAGAATTGTTCTTAGGTTAATGTTCATTTTGCTACAGAAGAGCCCATAATATTACTAGTGTTGATAAACTCTCTAACTGTTAATGTATTTGAAGGAAAGCATCCTCGGTTCTAATATAATGAACGCCTACAATAAGTTTGAAATTTGCATTTGTCTAACTACACTGACATGGTTTATTTCAAGTCATCACTGTTCCGTAACATTGCCTTAGTAATGAATCTTTGGAGAAAGCAGCGTCTCACCTTGCTAGCTGTCACAATAATCCAAGTCAGCTGCGGTGGCACAACTCTTCTTGGTGATAAGTTGTCGGTTTACCGGGCGGAAAGCTCGCCTAGAGGTAAGTTGAGTGAGCACTCATGTACGCAAAAATATTATTGGATGCTAAAACATAGAAAAAATGTAAATTTGGTGTAAACACCTGCTTTTTCGAAAAGCTCTGTTTTCGTGAAGGATTAGGGTGGACGGTAGGCCTGGCCGTAGAAATAAAACTGTGTTTTCAAATTTCTTTTACGTACTGTGGACTGGGCTTAGTCGTGGTGGTAATGTCGCACGAAGTCAGTGAATCAAATTAAGTCAGTCTTGTTTAATCTTGCTACTGGAAGATATCTTTCACCCAGAACAACAATAATTTGTCAGACCCTCTTGCGAGGTTATATTTTATCCACAGGAAGTTTAAGCATCTAAAATCATGATCCTGTTTGCTTTTGATTAAAGATTTTCAATCATGTGGAAAACGATTTCTCCGTCCCCAAACCAAAAGGTATGGGAAGGCGTGGACAAGATCTCACGTGATCAGCAAGCGAATAGTGGGTGGGAGCATGAGTGGTGACGGGGCGTGGCCATGGCAGGTGGCTCTCTTGCTGGATAATACTCAAGTGTGTGGCGGCTCACTCATCAAGTCTAACTGGATTTTAACTGCCTGTCATTGCTTCACAGGTGCGTCACTGAATACGTCCTCCAATTTAAATCTTTTTTTACCAGGTACTTGTAAAAGTACAATTGCACTCAGACCTGTATATCGTGCAGCAAAGACAGCATATGTGACTAAAAGGAAACGATGTTTTTTACTTTGCTTTCCCGCAGATTACAGATCATCAACGGATCCGACTCGTTGGAAAGTTAAACTTGGTGCGCATCAAATTCCTTCGGAGACAGAATTTGAAGAAACCAGGGAAGTGAAGAACATTATTATGCACCCAAAGTATTGGGGCAAGACTGAACAGGGAGTTCTTGTTCAACCTCCCGATTACGATGTCGGTGAGTGAAAAATTGAACGGAAATAATTCTCTGAAGAGCATAAAGTAGTACTATGAGCTTATTGACTGAACAGGACGGCCGGACGGCAAAACATTTGTCACCAGGCTTGGACGTGTAGACCGAGCGCTGGGAGGTTCATTGTTTCTTACCTGGAGTCAGTTATTTTGCCGTCCGGCCGTCCCACTCAGTCGAAAAGTACTTTGTCATTTCACGGCAACCCGTCAGGCCTTACACACTGCAGTTCGCATTACGGTTTTCCAATAGCAGTTGGGCAAGCGGAGCGGTGTGTTAGTGTGGTCAAAATTGTACTTTTGACGAAATTGTATATCGAGTATGTCCCCGGGGTTCTTTGAGAGCTGAAAAGAGATATCGTTCCCCCTATGTTAACTTTTTGGTACTCTGTATAATTGTTAATCGTCTTGCTTGCATCCAAACAGAACGTAGAGCACAATGTAACACAACATATATTGGACCAGCACGGCTGACTTTTTTGTCCAGTTTCATTGACCTTACGTGATAATAATAATAATAATAATAATAATAATAATAATAGTAATAGTAATAGTAATAGTAATAGTAATAGTAATAGTAATAGTAATAGTAATAGTAATAATTATAATTATAACAACTTCTTTCATACAGCGAGTCAATCGTATCAGGTAATTGCTTTATGATTAGTTGAAGGACGCATTTGCATCAACGTTTCCTTGCTTTCAACACTTGCAGCTTTAATTGAACTTTCAAGTCCCGCCATTTACAATAGTCACGTGCTCCCAATTTGCCTCGCCACAGCTAACATGGTATTTCCTCCCGGAAAGACCTGCATCATAACAGGATGGGGGACTAAAGGGTGGAACAAGCCCCCGTCTAACTTCCTACAAGAAGCTTCAATTCGTTTGGTTTCGAGAGATGAATGTAACGAAAAGAATTCTTACAATGGAACTGTTCCTCCAACGGCTTTGTGTGCGGGCTTCAAAGATGGCAGTATTGACGCATGTCAAAAAGATAGTGGTGGACCGCTGGCCTGTGAATACGACGGACGCTGGTATCTTTTGGGCGTCATATCATGGGGAAAGAAGTGCGCACTTCCAAATAAATACGGAGTCTATGCTGATGTACGAGTGCTGCGCACGTGGATCACAGACGTTATTCAACATTTAAAACAATAAATGGAAGAGATAAAAGGCAATTTTGAGTGATTGTGTTTACCAGATACTACGCGCGCTCTAATTGGTAAATTTAGCCGGTCCTATTCTACTCTACGGTCCGCCAAAATTTATAGCTGTTTATGTTCCCAAAATGTTTCGTGATTTATTATAGAAATTAAAAATTTAAGTGTATTAAAACATGCTTACAACTTAACAACGATTTCAAATTGGCTCGTTTTGCTTTCGACGTTCGTCAGAAATTTGAAGCAGTTACGCTTTGCTTCATTTTATAGACTATAGATTTCGTCAAATTGCTATTTTCGTGTTTTGTCAAAGTGAGCCTAGGCCAGGATTCCATATTGCCGTGCGTATTATCAGTAATAGATCTCAGAAGACGTCTAAACGTGACGCTTAGTGCATATTATTTACACATTTTTATCGTTTGTTTGATATTCCCATGTCTTAATTTTACTCAGATGTGCAAAAACTTTAATCACTTTTTAAACTTGGAAATTATCTCAGAGAAATCGAAATGTCGTTTTTCATCCCGTGAAATTATCCTAAAATCAATTTGACTGTTACGAATATAGAAACTGATATGTCAGTCGTCACTCTTCCGCGGCCCAAGGTGCAGGCCCTGGGAAAGAGACTGGAGATGACTAACATTTCAGGCTAGTGTTTGTACATTCTCTTCCCCAGAACAACCTTTCCTTTTTGGCAGGCGGGGCCTGGGCGAAAGGAAAAGGTGGATATAGAGGCAAGATTCTTGGACTAAGATTTTCACTAATTAATCGCTGGTATCACTGACTGGTTGATCTCTGACTGTAGCCGTTCGATCAAATCACCTGCAGACCTTCCGTAAGTTTAAACTGGCTTACAAGGAGAATTTTCGATGACATCCTTTCGTGACGAAATGTACAAACGCACTTCCGGTCAGAATTTGACTTCTGCTTAAAAAAAAAAAAAAATTAAATCTATCGAGGTTTCTGGATGCTGTGATCGAAGAGATTCGGTGAGAGATCATTAGTGGATAAGTTCGGAAAGAAGCAAGCTTTGAATTAGGGAAAATCTTTGCTGGTAACGCTCAGCAACTGTTCAGCTGTATAACCGAGTTAAAACTATACGAGGTTTTAACGCTCAAATGAAATAAAATGCACTTCGATAAAAATTCCATTTACCACCCTAAAGGTTGTAAATGGAATTTTGAAGGTAGCATTGAGGTAGCAAGAACATAACAAACACGGTAATTCTTTTGCAGCTTCCCATGAACCAAAGAAATTAATGTGACGTCAGTCTGGGAAACGATATCTTACTCATTTTTACAGTAGTTTTACTGGCCCCAATGATTACGACTTTTTTGGAAAATCTAACATTGAGGAACCCATTCGCGTTTAAAAGGAATCTCGGCTAAAGAAAAGTTTTGTTTGAAATCACAAGTCGGTGTTTGTGTTTAACTGATTCAGTGATTTGAAGTGGATAATTCTTTGCCTGTTTTGAATGCCGGACGTTTCACTTCTGCTATTATGGGATTTCAAATTCCCGCGCGCCGCCATGTAAGTTTTTGCAAAGCGTGATGGAAGATATGACGTCATTACGCGGTTGAACGTTTTTAAAATACAACATTGCGTCAGTCTAGAGATGTAAAGGTGCTTCTAATCTTTTATAATTCATATTCAGGGTGATGTAAAACAGGGTTCCTATGTATGTGTAGTTCCAACAAGAAATCGTCTTCTATAGACTTCACATTAGCAGAATTAGGACTCGAGTAGGAGAGCGAGATCGAGGACGAGAACACCTTTTTAATTCTAGTTTGTAGTCTTCACATAATCACGTCACATACCCACCTTATCCCATGAGACACCCTCTCTGCCAAAAAAACCAACATGAAGAGCAAGGGCTCTTAAAAACGTCACTGGTTTGAAATTCGAAGATCGTACTCGTACTTAATCTCGTATTCGTAGCTCGATCTAGAGGTTCCTAATCAGATCTCTGACCACGCAATGACGCCATAAATTACAATTAAATAAACCTGACGACGCCCAGGCGATTTAAATTGAAAACCAATATTCTTATCCGAACAATAAGAGAGACTAAAAACACCCAAGATCAATTAAAGAGAACCATTATTCTCGTGCATTCACTAATGATTTTCGTCAAATGGAAAGCTCTGGGGATACGTAAGAAGTTCTTTGCTCTCGGTTGAAGGCCAGTCGAATTCAAAACCATGTCAAAATTAAAGTCCCCCAAAAATATGGCTCCCTCGTCATCCTTTGAATAACTCGTCAACATCGATTCAATTTCACCGGAGAAAACAGAAGCATCCGAATTTGGTGGCCTACAGAGGCTGCCAAAGAAGATTTTCTTGCTTTTAGGCGGCGCAAGTTCAAACCAGAGCGCTTCAATATTTGAGCTACTTTCATTGTTTATCAGGTTGAACTGTAGATGGTCGGCAATAGCTGGTTTTCACATGACGTCACTAAAATTCTAACTACAAAACTATTGATCTTCCTGAGATTTTACTTTAATGATGTATAAGAGCAGCTAAAAACTAACATTCACACAAATTTTCGCTCCGAATGGGTTCTTGGTTTTGTGATTCACTACGCTTGAATTTCTAAGCTTCTGCGTGACGCGGCATTTACATGACGGCCTAAAGAGCTGTCATGATGGTTAAAAAAGTGACTTATTTCGGGGAACTTGGCTATCTGAACAGTTCATGCCTTAAAAAAGTATTATTTTAATGTTTTATAGTTCCTCGAGGGATAAATTCACGCTTTTGTGTCAAAACTCAGTGACAGATGTTTCTGTTGGTTTCCGGCCACCATATTGGTGCCCATACGGATGGGCACCAGCATGGCGTCTCCATACAAATCTCTATAAATTTGGGTAAAAAATTTCTCCGCGTATCTCGCATAAGAAAAATTGCTGTGACCAGAATTTTGGCGAGAGTCTTTGCATATTTACCTTCTTTCATTTCCCAGATTCTAGACTTTATCTATTGACCGGTTTTGATTTTTTATTTTGATCTATTTTGAATTGCGTGACACTGAAAACCAGCAATATAAACTGTCACTCCGCCTCCAAAACAGTCTCTGTCTCCTCTGATTACTCACGTATATATACTTTGAAACTTAAATTGTTTTTCAGCCAAGATTCTCTTTGAAGCTAACCTGGTTTGGGTGTGTTAAGCGACCTATCTTAAACCAAACATTGGCAAAAAAAAGGTATTTGATGGATAAGGCACCTGGCGCAAAGCACGTTACAACAATCTTATAATAATGGATAGCGGACATAATAAAAAGAAAAAAAAACCAATCTCATATGACATAGACGCAAATGGAATGATTGTTTTACCAGTAAATAGTTCACTGACTAAATTTTTTACCACTTCATGAATTTTAAGATATAATTTGAGATCGATAGGAAGATGTTGCTATTTTACTTAAGATAATATTGTGCGAAAAAGGCGGCAAAACTAAGCGACGCGATGCTCACTTCTTAAGGACCTATTCCGATATGGAGAAGCGTTGTCTCTATTCGGAGGCTCACGCATACCGAGCCACATGTGGAATGAAAACGGAAACGTTTGTACGAAAAATCACAGAGTTAGCTCGGTTCCAGGGTGGCCTAGCGGAAAAAGAGTTACTCGATTTGAAGCCAGGGTGACTCTGGGGCGAACCGACTGTTTTCCTATGTGAACACCTTTATTCGCCCTTAAGGGACAAGTCGGTACATACAGAGCAGGCGCGAAACCAAGATGGCCATATTGGGATTGGTTGGTAGGGACAACTTTTTTCAATTAAAACGCCCTGAGGAAAGGTAACCCTCCAACACAACCAAACGCAAAAAAATAATTGCGTTGAAGGAACTTAGTATAGAAGCAATGAAATTCACCATAGAAAACACCCGTTTGCTATTTACCACTTCGTATCCAATGCGGACTCATGGAATAATTTTCGGTTAATGCCAAGATCTCTTCATTTATCAATATCTACAAAAAAAAATCTAACTCTTTCGCTGTTGACCGTACGAGAAATGTGATACAGATGTCTGTGTTTCTCAATACCCTTCAAAAGGAATGGAGTGCCATGTCTCCCTGATCAACTCAATACGATCAGAGATCTTTTTTGGAGCGAGACTGAACTAAACTTGCAGGTGGAAATTCTGATCTTATCGGGACTTTTAGCATTAACTGATAAATTTATTCCACTGATAATGCATGTATGATACGTGATGTAATAGACAAGTTGGCGCGCGTCCGATATTCAACGAACGATTTTCAATAATTAACGTAGGTGTTTTCACGATGTATTAGCGACGTTCGGACAATTTCTAAGGGATACGAAATTTTCAATGCCAGACAATTAATTCCAAGACGTATTTTATACTAATATTTCTCAAAATGCATGTCTCTTTTGAATAGTTTCATTTTCAACAATTGCATGACCAATCAACAAGACTTCATAAGGACTCCATTCACCTGGCTTTTTTGTTGGAGTTGCATGATAACGAGTTCCCGTATGGAAATGACCGTATGAATTGTTCGCGAGCGGCAGTTTCAGTCACTCGAGCAGTCTGCTTGTAGATGTATTAGAACATGTATTTCATGTTTTGAACGGTAAATTGCAGTGAAATTCTACTGGCTGAGGCTGGATGAGACTCGACACCTCTGGGAGGTTCTATATAAGGTAAGAAAAGCACTGCGTGAAAGCCGTTTATACATAAACTCACATTTCAATTGTCTATGTCAGACACAGATTCTCGTGGCACTCTGTTAGATTCAATGCATCCTTGCAAGGTTGTTTTTCTGGGGTAAATAAAATAGACAACTTGAAGGTTTTAGTGATGTTTCGTGTATTACTTTTTTACATGAATGAAGATAAAGAAGATACGCTTGATGAAATAAAACATTATAGTTCCTTGAACAATCAGCGTAGTGGCGGACAACGAAAATTATGCTAACAGATCGATGCTCTCTAAATTTTCATGCCTTGTAAAAATAAACCATCGGTTTGAACGCTATATCTAAGAAATTTACACTTTTAACTTCTCTATTATTTAAAAATATCTCAAACGAGTACACAAATGTGTTCAGCTTTCAAGGGAGTGAAAAAGCCAACAGGATAATGAATAATATCAATATAATTTTTGAATTGCAACTTTACTATATTTTCTGGACCATTTAGAGAATGGATTTTGTTACTCTTTACTTGTAATATCTTCAGAAACCTGGTCTTAATTTAAGTCAGAGACAAAAAGCTACAAGCCTGAAAAATTGCGAGGCGTTATTATTTTGGTGCTCTCCTCTTAACATATATGCAAAAAAGTAAAATTCAAAACAAAAACATTATAATAAACATCTGCTGCATATGACGGTTAATCAAACATATTTAGGGGTCCCGTTTATGCGTAAATTAAACATTGCCGTTTATATAATATTTAAGATAGTAAGCGCGCTCTCATTGGTCGATAGGTATGTTTAGATGTGAGTATGTAAACCTCGTTGTTAGAAATATTTTTTTGTAAAAGCAATAGAGGACTCGAAGGTGATGCATCTTGGGTTTGCATAACTGTCTCGAATTCTTGCTGAGGTTATGTAAACACGGAAAAAGTCCTCTATTGCTTAACAAATTACACTTTTTAAAGTTGCGACAATCTATATCTCTGTTCAACATAACTTTAAACTCTGGTCCACACAGTTAACTTTTTGCTACGCCACGCAGGTTTGATTTCAGAATGTTTGTTTGGGGTACAACAAGGATAGTGATCTTGGCAAGCGTCTTTGGCCTATGTAAACCTTACAGCTGGAAAACGGTCTTAGGTAAGAACAAAAACTATATATTTTCCCTTGCCATGTGTCCTGACATCAGCGCTAATCTGTATGCAGCCCTGAAATTCGAGAATACAAAAGACCAGCGAGCCGCAGCTTTCGTGAAACATTAGCAACAATGTCCATCTTAGCCAAAAAAAGACTTTACTTCTCAAGACGTACACAGTTGAACTTCTTTAACAAGGACACCAAAGGGGCAGAGCCGCGTGTACATATTATGGTCGTTAATCTTGTGACTGTAAATAGTTTGCGTGTTCAATAGCTCGATAACGTAAAACCAAAAATAATAATTATATTTTTCGTTTAACATAACACCTTATCTGGGGCAGGTCGCCATTTTAAAATAGGAAAAAACCTTAACTCATTGGATCCTACGAATAAAAAACGAGGTGTACTTTTTCTTTTCGATGGCCTTTACACATGCACAGTTGAATTTGAAAGCTGAATTGACGGTAACAAAAAGTTATCAATACCTGTAATTTCTCGAACGTTAATATAACCTTGAACACGGTTTTCCAGCGCTTTACACATTGAAAGGATCTTATGAATTTCTCTCAGAGCCCGAATGTGGTGTAAGGTTCTGGCAAAACGAGAAAGAAGATAAGCGCATTGTAGGCGGCCGGATCAGTTCTCCCGGGGCGTGGCCCTGGCAGGTGGCTCTGCTCCTAAACAACACTCAGATGTGTGGAGGTTCCCTTATTTCGCCAGAATGGGTTGTCTCTGCATCGCATTGCTTTGTTGGTAAGAAATACAGATTATTTCATTCTGACATTTCATTCCTCATGCTGCACAAACAGCGCAATGACTTGGACTTTACCTTCTATTCAGTGATGGAAATTTACAATTATTGTCACGTGTTTATCTTAAAAGAAGGGAACATCTGCAGAACAAACTGATTCTTATCACTAGTTTGATTGGTTTATGTAAATGATCCAAGTTCTTTCAGCGTGTATGTTTACACATCCTCTAGACTCACAAGTCAGCCTGGTGCAATCACATCCCTTCATCCGTAGAGGTCTTATTTCAATATTATGGGTGAGACTCAATGGAAAGAAACATACAATATTTCATAGAGCATTTGGGTAATTACAGGTGCAAGTTACCAAATTACCATAAAGCTTAGCCTATATAATAGCTAATTGTTAACAAAACAAAGCAAGAGGAATACGCATAAGATAATTAAAGCATCGCCACGATCTTCTTGCTAATCTGATTTCAGGTCCTGATTTGTCTACTGATCCCAAAGATTGGACAGTAACCTTAGGAGAGCACCACCTAAAAAATGAGGATTGGTTTGAACAAAGTAGAAACGTGAAGTCCATTTATACTCACCCACAGTATACTGGCGGCGGAAATGAAGTCACAGACCAAGAAATCAAAGGAATCCCACCCGATTATGACGTTGGTATGAGAAACTTCGTTGTCATGTCATCTTCTATATATCTCTGTTTTCTCTTATCTTATCAACTGTAATTTATCTTCCCAATCACAGGAAATCACTGCTAAAAGATGTCATGATTTTGTAACATTTCTCAAGCCATTCGTCACCAATAGACGCTCCTTCCATTTCCAAGAAAAGAAAATATAACCTTCCTTTCCCGCATTCTTATTCCGCTTGCCCTTACTTTCCGTAGGAAAAAGAGACCTTATTGCATTTTATCTCATTAAACTTCAAAAGTAAATTGGTATTTGGTGACTGTCAACCTCAAATTAATTAAGTTCAGTTAGGAAAAGATTTTTCTCCACCGCGTCGTAATCTAACGACCTATGATTGAATGGAGGAACGGATGGTCGGTAGAAAAGAGCAAGGAAGGAAAGGAGAAAGGAGGGGAGAGAAAAATGATAGATGGATAAATGGATGAATAGCTGGTAATAATGGCAGCTGTTATTGTCTCTTGCCGGTTCTCTCGTCTACGAAATGCATGTTCCAGACGTCTCTAAGTAAATTAAAACCACTACAGTCGTGAGTCTAGGACGAGTAGCTGTGCTAATAGTGCTTTGCCCTCTTGCTGTAGCTCCAGCCTAGCAATCAAGTTGGGTCTATTTGACCGAACAGGTGCGAAGGAACGATGACCAATGAAAAGCTGTATTTTCATTTCACTTTCAGCTCTGCTGCATCTAAAATCTCCCGCCATTTTGGACAACTTTGTATCCCCAATCTGCCTCCTTCCTCCGGGCTTTACTTTCCCCGCCGGTAAGGAGTGCTATGTTACCGGCTGGGGCCATACACAGTGGAGAGGACCAAAGCCTGACATTTTAAGGGAAGCCAAAGTAAAGCTCGTTCATCAAGACCAGTGCAACGCAGAGAAATCGTACGAAGGAGCCATTCACAACAGGGCGCTTTGTGCTGGATTTGAGGAGGGTGGAGTCGACGCTTGCCAGTACGACAGTGGGGGGCCGCTAGCTTGCGAACAGGATGGGCTCTGGTATCTAACTGGGGTGGTTTCCTGGGGCCACAACTGCGGGGACCCACACAAGTATGGAGTGTACGCAGACATGGAGGACATGACTGAATGGGTCAGAGAGACTATAAAAGAAGCAGAAAAGAGTTACGTCTAGGAGAACATTAATTACACTAATACGAAATATTTATTAACTGTTAACACAGAATATGTTAATTTAAATCAAGATACCTAACAAAGACGCTAAACACTGTTTACTAACATTATGTCTTCGCATTTTAATCATCAGTTCATTAAATTGACCTCTTGAAGTATGATCACCATGAAAGTTTACAAAAACAACGCTGTAAATAAAATCTTGGGGTCCACATAACATACTTGTTGCGCTATGGCTTTTTTATGTACAATCCATCCATTTGCCTATTCACTCTTTCTTTCTTCCTTTATTTCGTTCTCTATTTCCTTTCGTCGTGTCTGATAATCCCAGCTTCTACAATCTCTCTTAATCCGTCTTCTCCACCGAGAGGCTCGCCTAACATCCCTTCAGATTAGGCTCGTTTCCAAGAACAAGTTGCGGCAAATCCTGCGGAAAAAATACCGAAAGCGTCCAAGGAAAATTTTCGATCTGTGGGACGAGTACAACGTTTACAAGCTAAGAATGTTAGGGGCGGCGAATGGTACTTTCGATATTTAACAATGTGAGAAATCGGAATCGCTAGAAAAATGAGACTGTGAGACCCGTTTTTCAAGGTTTGCTGATCCTGATCCCATGCATAAGACTTGTGATCCTAGATATCCCTGATCCAATATACCTAACGTGCGTTTCACTAAAGACCCGCAAACGTCTGGGCTCCGAAAACCGTACTGTAAAGCTCCCGAAAAGACTTTCGGGAGTTTCTCAAAGCGCACGAAAATTTCGGGCCAGAGAAAATCACGTCACTTTTTTCCCGTAAACTTTACGGGTACTCACCACCTCACGAAAACGTTTTTCGGGCGTTTTTATCGAAATAAAATGGCGAGTATCGCGGCTCTTATGATTCAAGCTAGACAGCCCAGACAATACATGGAAATAACATCGATGGTAAATATGCGAGAAAACGAGGTTATTGAAAGATATAGACTGTCCCCCGAGAGAATTCGATGGATGGTGACGTTACTTTAGGACAAACTCGAGCGTGACACGGGGGTAAACGTTAAATTAATAAATAACATTTTGTAACAACCGGTAGGGAGAACCGACCTCTTCCGAATATGAAAACATTTTTTTTGTATCTTTTATTAGGTCCTTGCAGCATTAACAATAACAATAACAATAACAATAACAATAACAATAACATTAACAAAAACAATAACAGCAACAGTAATAATGATAATGATTATGATAATGATAATGATGATGAAAAAATAGCCCACTTCACTATAAGGTGCTTTTCAGTGGGGCCCTGCATAAATAACTATTAAAAGTTAAAATAAAAGTTATAAGTTAAACGTTTAAAATACGTATATACATGAAAGGATAAAAACATTATAAATATAAAATAATAAACATTACGATACTACGCTACAGCATCTTTCCTGAAAGTACTCGGAGATACCAAGGGAATTTCCAAGGCAAGCGCAAGTCGCTGCATAAATGAAAATAAATATAATGTATAGTTACTTTTGTTGAGGTTTCTAAAAACAAAAACAAAAAAACGCGCGAAAATCTCAAAAATCGATCGAGCATTAAGTTCGCCGGTATTCATTTATACACCTAAGTGGAGAGAGGCACTGTTAGGGTAAAGCGTCTTTCCCAAGAACACAACGCAATGTCTGCGGCCAGGTCTCGAACCCAGACCGCTCGATCCGGAGACAAGCTCACTAACCATGAGGCCACCGCGCCTCCCAATAGCCTTCATGAAGAGTGAAGATGAAAACTTTTACTGAGCCAAAGTGGCATCCTCACAATACATCTTTCATCAAAACCTTAAGTCGTTTCTTGTCCGCTCAATTCGAACCCCCTCCCCGTGTGTAAGCTTCCCAGGTTATACTGCATGGAGATCAGCAGAAATAAGCCCAGGGCTTATAATCGTCATTTTACGGAATTTTTTACGGTATATATCGAACATTAAAGCTGATAACAGGATAGAAGGCAAGAATTATGCATTCACAAAAATAATACAATTCCATAACTCCCTTCACTATAGCAAGAACTGAAATTTTAACCATCCTTTTTCTCAGATACCAAAGAGCTATGAAGAGCAAACCATATATGTACAATACAATTCAAGTTTGCTCGTACGAGAATATTCTACAGGAATATTCCACTCTTGGTTTCTTAATGGCTGGTAAGAGTTTCCCGGACTAGGAATTGGTGCTTAATGAAGCAAAACCATCCGTATTTTAAAGTATGTTTTAACTCACCTAAAAGGATCTAATGATAAAGAACCAAAGCAACTCTATCACTTGCTCTCCCGCATTCACTTGATTAACCTAATATTTTTGGATAGTGAGCGCTACCACGGGTCTTTTCATTATCGTGACCAAGGAACATTTTTACACCAGGATAAGTTTGGACTGTTTGGTCCATTTTATCGATGTCGGGCGAGACAGAACCTAGTTAATGACGTAGTTAACACGAGTTTCTGTCTTCAATCTTTCTTTCTCTCTTTTCTCACTCTCCTTCTTTCTTCCCTTCCTTCTGATAATAGCAATGTATTAACAACCACATAACCACATGTATCTGCTGCGTTGCGGCAGTTTTCTGAACAGAAGAAACTTGAACTTCCAGTCTCTTTGTTGTGTAAAGTTTAGCAATTCCTGATCAGGAAGTTCTTCCTCTGACAACAAAAGTACCGATCCATGCTAGTGCCTATCTGAGTCATGAAGGTAACCAATCACATTCAAAAACGGGTTTATATTCGAGGAATGTTCTTATTACTCGGCTTCCGTAGGAAAGCCCGAGTCATAACTAGTGAGACAATCTCAGATAGTGCAGAGCGCAATTGATAGCTCTGATACAGTAGTCCCATCAGTACTCACCCCTGCTCGGTTCACTTCCGGTTTGTGTCTACCTTGGTAGTCTGCTACGGCTTTTCCCCTTTGCAGTGTGTATGTTTCAAGGTTGTATTT